CATGACAGCTCACAACAACCTCAAACTCTTGGGCTGACGTGATTCTCTTGCCTCAGCCTTCCAAGTAGCTGGGACTCTAGGCGCCCACCACAATGCCCAGTTTTGTTGCAGGTGTCGTTGTTTAGCTGGCCTAGACTGGGTTCAAACCCCCCACCTCTGGTGTATGTGGCTGGCGCCATAACCATGATGCTACAGGTGCCAAGCCAGATTCATTTTTACTCTATATTTAATAATTGCTTTATGTGATAACTATGATAAAATTTTGTATTTTTTAAAAGAAAGGCAAAATTAAAAACCATTTTCCTAATCTCTATTGTCTTTCAAGCCTTTTTCTAAGGTTCGATATAAGTATAAATTTTTCCTTGTCAACTGCCAAGACTGTACCACAAAATCAACCCATACTCAGGTAATGCTTTACACTGGATGCTAATCATCCAGGGACAGAACAATGGTTATAATTTCTCCTATAATTTCTATCCAAAATAGAAAGAAACCAACATTTATTAAGCATCTACTATATACCAGGAATTGTGCAAGATATTTTCATTGATACTGGTTCTTTTATATTCAAGACAGATCTATGAACTAAATGTTATTTTCCTCATTTTTCAGATGAGGAAATTGAGATCAGAAAATTAATTAACTTGTTCAAGGTCTCCTAAGTGGCCAGTATGTAGATACAAACCCCTGTGTCCTGACTTAAAGTTCAGTGCTTGATAGAAACTGAATTTTCTCCTTTAGAAAATTACTTATTAGAGATGACAGCATAAAGATGTCACAGAGACTTTAACTTATAGGAGTGAGGTAGAACAGAGGGCAGTTTTTGAAAGGATAAAAAGAGTACTTAAGGCAGACACTTAATAAGCATGCTGCGTGCTCATTCCTTAAGTCCCCCCACATTCTCTTTGTGTATCAAATTAACATATCAAAAAGTACATCTTAACTATATCTCAATATCCACAAAAATATATGTAATTAAATAAGTCTTATTGCTATGAATTATTTTAAAGGGTCAAAGGAAGTATCCATTTAAACCATGTTCATGAGAAAACCCAAATAAACAAAGAGATACCATGTTCATGGATAGGTAGGAATAATATTATAAAAATGGCAATTTCCTCAAAGTCATTTATAGCAAATAATTCCAGTAAAAAACCCAACCCCAGGAAAAATGCGAGTTGACTCTTCTTTAAATAAACTGAAATGATTATGACAAGTTAAAAAGTTTTAAGGTAATCCAAAGAACAAAAGAACTCAGAAAGCAAGAATTTTTTTAGATTAAAAATACGATTATTTCAAATAAAATAATCAGTAAGACTGGAAAATGATAGATCTCAGAACACAGAACAAAAAGACAAAACATAAAATATGAAAGAAAGGTTCAAGAGATTTAAGGAATAAACATAAGCAATCTAAAGTCTGAAAACCTGGCATACAAGAGACCAGAGAAAATCAAAGAAGAGAGCTTCCGTAAAAGAAATAATTTTAAAAAGCATTTTCCAGAGTTGAAAAGGAATATAAACCTTCAGATTGTGCCCAGCACAGTGAATAAACAAAGAGACGCATTACAATTCACATGTCACTGTGAAATTTTAGAATACCATAGATGAATAAAAACTCTTAGAATCCCCCAAAACTCTTAGAATCCTCTTTGGAATGAACATCAGATTGGTATTAGACATATTTTTGCAAAACTAAATATCAGAGAATAATGCTACAAACCCTTCAAAGATCAGAGAGGAAATGATTTTGAATCTAGAATTCAATACATGTGGTTTGCCAATGTTTCAGTGAAGTGACAGGGTGCTTAAAAGACATTTCCTATGCTCAGGATGCAGAAAGTTTGCTTTCCATACCCTGGCTTACAATGTTACTTGAAGATATTTCCTAGGAAAACAAGGGGGAAAAGTAAGAATGAAAATGGTAGGGAACCCAGGGAAAAGATCCAATGCAGAAGAGCAGTGAAAGAAAGCTTTAATATGATAGTTATATATCAGGCCTAGAAAAACCTAGGCCAGATAGAAACAGAGAATAGAAGGTTTCAGGAGGAAAGTCTTCAGGATATAGAGGACTCAACAGAAGAGAAAGAGTAAATGGGAATTTGTAACACATTGAGCATAAATGTTAAAAATACACTGAGGGAAGAAAATTTAATAAGAAAGTCATGATTAAAATATAAAGTGAACTGAACTGTCCAAACATAAAAACAATGGCTGTGAAGTCTTAGAAAAGAGAAGTCATTTGAGGTTGATGTTAATACTGTTCTCCCTGAATTGGCTAAAAGGTCATGAGCATTCAGAGAAATCATTTTAGCATTACTTGGCCTGGCATTAGAGAATGCTTATCAAATCATAATTATGTAAATGCTGTTTTTTGGTCTCCAAACCTATGGACAATTACCTGGCCATTATTGTAGGACTTAATGAAAACATTAATGCCTTGACAAAGTAAAAGTTAAAATATTGACAGATAATATGGACAAGTGACAAATGTAGAGGAAAGTGTAGGTGTGTGCTAATGCTAATACCACACATTACAAAGACTTAGAAGATACCTAGAAAGCTGATGGAAAAACATTAAAAATTAAATATTTTCCAGTAAAATGAGGGCAAACCAAATATGAAGAAGGCATGGAATCCAAGGAGAAAAAATCGATCTAAGGCAGAAGAGCAGTGATTTAAAATTGCAAATGTAGTTTATAGACAAATAATAATTTTAAAAGTATATATATATATATATATATATATATCTTTCATAACACAGATTCCAAACTGTGTAAAGTTGATAAACTACAGGATAATGAAGACTGGCAAGATAATGGCTAAGCCAAATGTGAAAATGATTCTGCTGAAATATAAATTAAATATAAACCATTGCAAAATGAGAAAAAAAATAAAAACTGAACATAGATGAAGGATATATTTATTATATTATATAAAATTCTTTACATAGTGACTTATGCAATAAATTATACTTCAAATTCAGTCACAGGAAAATAAAAATCCAAAAGTTTTTCACTTGCTAAAGTTAGGATGCCTAGCAGAAACAAAGCAAAACCACACAGGTGGAAAACTCCTACAACCAGTCACCAAAGGATTTCCACAGAGAAAAAAGCCCTACTGAAGATAAGCTCAAAAGAAAAAAAAAAAAATTGTAAAATGTGAAGAAACCATCTTCCATAAGCAAGAGCCAGAGGAATCAACATATAGGGTTAGCACCTCCGAGTACCGAGTAAAAAGAAAAAATACCATTCCAAAAGACATTTTAAAAAGTATGATTAAAATTACTAAGAAATAAAAGAAAGGCTAGAAATTGTAAAGAACAAAATCTAAGTAAAATAATAAGGCAGATTTGAAAAAGCCAAATAGGACTTCTATTTAAAAATTAAAAATTTAACGGATAGGTTAAATAGCGATTTCTGAGAGACACAGGGGAAGAGGTAATTAGGAAACTGACCTGGAAGTGAGCAGAAGCGGTGAGACTACTGCTTGTCATTTCAGGTTCTGTACCATTTGAACTGCTATTGAGCATGTTTGTCACTTTGAAACATGCTTTTTATTTTTATGTTTTTTATTAAGTCATAAACACATAGATCATGTATACGTTAATGCATTGTACTGATTTTGCATACAGTTTGGAATGCTTATGTCAAATTAGTTAATATGTCCTTTAGCTCATTTACTTAATTACTGTGTTAAGACCTTTATAGTCTTTACTTAATAGATTAGACATGTACCCTTGCAATGTGCACCATAGGTGTAGTCCTGCCATTTACCCTCCCTCCATCACACCTCCTCCCTCCCCTCCCATCCCCCTTCTCTTTCCTCCTTCATCCTGAAACATTATTTTAAAATTAAGAAAGTGTACGTGTGCTTTACATAACTTAATTGAAGACAGCATTCTATGTCATTTAATGCTCTGTACATAAGAACTCATGTGAGAAATTACTTCTTCAGTTCATTTACAGGAAAGTGGAAACCTAAAGTTTCTCTCTTTTTGCCTGAGTTGTGAATTCAAGAATACTTTCAGTGCTCAACAGTAGTGGCTCATTCATAAACATATTTTATTTTTCATTTTAAGTTAATTTTTATTCTCAATTTTTACTTCGTGCATTTTATATATGTTTAAAGTCCCTTGAAATTTCCTTTGAAAGACAGTAAGAGTGAATCTGTAAAATTCTTACTATATATCAAAAGTTATAGATTTGTTATTCTTCCCAAAAGGGATTACTCTACTTAGCTGTTCATATTGATTTAAATCTTTCTCTAAAGTGTGTATATTCTTTTTTTTTATTTATTAAATGATAGCTGTATACATTAATGCAAACATGGGGTACAGTGTAGTGTTTTCTTATACAATTTGAAATACTTTCATCAAGCTGGTTAACATAGATTTCATGTCATTTGCTTAGTCACTGTGTCAAAACATTTATATTCTAGTTCTAGAAAGTGTGTATATTCTTTAAAAGCTCTTAGTGAAATATTCAACAGGTGTTAGAACCAATTTACCTTTTATAAAATTTCTTAACTGTGGAGCTGCTTCAGTTGAGACAAGACAGAGGCAGAGGAGGGAATGCCTGGCCCACTAGCCCCCAGGGGCTTTCTAGAACTCCCTGAGCACAATTGGAAAACTGCTACTACAATGATTCTCAGTTATCCAATTTAATAAGAAGTCTGATTGTTCTAACCATAAGACATGAGTCAAAATACTACCAAGAAAATTCCTACAAGGAAACATTCTTTTTTTTTTTTATTGTTACCTTTAAGCCCACATTTATAAGGGGAATTTAGTGATAATAAAGGAAATGAGAAAAAAAGTTAGGTAAAACTCAAGATATTATTTTAGTAATTATAGAGGTTTTGCTGTTTCTCCTTAAAGCCAAATAAAACAAGACAATATAAGCCTACCCACTGAAAATTAATCCAGAAATAGTTTAAAAGTTACCCTAAATCTTAAAAACAATTAGATCAAAATCAAGTGATCAAATTTTATTTTCTTACATTGTAGAGACAAGGCAAATGTTAACATCTTGTGTACTGTTGAACTCTTTGACGATCTTGAGTCTTTCCTCTGATTTTGTACTTCCATCAAGTCGTCGATAATCAAGCCCAGATGCCATACAGTACTGCTGCAGCACGTCCAGCAACTAGAGAAAAGGAAGGGAGCCAGGCACACAGGAATTCTTGGGTAAGTTTCGTACCATTACAGACATTAGATTTACTGAGTATTAATTATCAGTGCTCAAAACTTGTAATTTCAAGAGCAATAAATATCTTTCTAACTTCTGAATACATTCCTTCCTGTTATCTTGAAACTGGCTTTAATGTTCAGCTACCTTTGAAAAAAAAATCATCTTTCATTTTTTAAAAAACTGAAATTAAAAAGAAAATTACCAGTCAACCACTTATTTACATATATTTCACTATTTGTGCTATTTTTTTTTTTTTGAGACAGAGCCTCAAGCTGTCCCCCTGGGCAGAGTGCTGTGGCATTACAGCTCACAGCAACCTCCAACTCCTGGGCTTAAGCAAGTCTCCTGCCTCCGCCTCTCAAGTACCTGGGACCACAGGCGCCCGCCACAACGCCCGGCTATTTTTTGGTTGCAGCCATCATTGTTGTTTGGCGGGTCCGGGCTGGGGATTCGAACCTGTCACCTTAGGTGTATGTGGCTGGCGCCTTAGCCGGTTGAGCTATAGGCGCCAAGCCAAATGTCTTAAAGAATATTTAATTTGTAATAACATCAACAGAAAATAAAAATCTAACTTTGGGTTTGATATTTAGTGGTAATCCTAATATCACTGAATGTTTTTTTTTTAAATTTTTTGGGGGGACAGAGTCTCACTTGGTCACCCTTGGTAGAACGCCATGGTGTCTTAGCTCATAGCAACCTCAAACTCTTGGGCTCAGCCTCCCAAGTAGCTGGGACTACAGGCGCCGCCACAATGCCTGGCTATTTTTAAAGATGGGATCTCGCTCTGTCTCAGGCTGGTCTCAAACTCTTGAGCTCAAGCAATCCACCTGCCTCAGCCTCCCAAGTGCTGGGGTTACAGGCATGAGCCACCACACCCAGCATCTGTTTAAAAATTTCTAAGTTGCTCACCTCACTCCTACTGTGTAGTTAAGACAGAAAATGTGGCTGTAAGCTGTCATGTTCCTTATGCTTTATGCCTCAGGAGTTAAGCCAATCGAGAATGTGATGGGCTATAGATGAAACTCACCTTGGTGGAAAAAGAAAAGAGAAGAACTTTATCTCTGTTTTTCCTGCAGTGATTTAAAAGCTGCTGAAGGACCTGAAAATGAACCACAGAATCTCAGTGAACCAGTTCCAACTAAAAGTACACTTTATACATACAAATATCACTTGAGAATTTCTTTAAAATTATTTTTATATAATACTAACATCAGCCATTTTTTCTAATTCGCTTTATTTTTTCCAAGTTGGAGAAATAAAGTATTAGACATTACATCAAATGTTATTCATCATTATATTGTCAATAAGGAGGTAAAGTTCCCATAGACTTTTATTTCATCTCATCTGGTTTTAATAAAAAGGAAGCATTTTACATTATGGGATGCATTTAAATAGATTAATTTCCAAATACACTTACTTTATTCTTACAATATGTTAAGAAACTAAATTATAGAGCAGCATTCCTTTTGGGAAGTATTTAAATCGTCTATAGATAGATGTAATGAAATATACTCAATTATATTTAGGTTCTAAAAGTCTTGATATTTATTTTCTTAGAATAATCAGTCAAATACAACCTCTTCTCATTTTCTCCCCTTTGTTTCTCTATTTACAGTAAGCTCTGACTTGCAGAGTTGATTTTGACCTTACAATGCCAGTAATCTGCCCCCACACAAGGTGCTTACGGGGAGGAAGCAGACAGCCCAAAGCCTTGTGTATAATAGTAACACTGTTATTTTTATTTCCACATCTGGCAATGACAGCTCCAGAACACTGTGGAAAAGCAATCCACAGAGAGAAAAAAAGAATTCTCTGTACTAAATCTAAAGCTGTTCTGAACTATGAGATAAACACTTCAGCAATTTTATTTTCTCAATGATGAATATTTAAGCTTTTAAATAAAAAATTTATATCTAACATAACACTTTTAATAGATGAGCAAGAGAAGACATTGTGCTAACTCTGACCCCTGCCCCCCAGGCCTGCAAAAAACTCTATGTAGTTTAATAAAAAAAAAAAAAAAAGATCTACTCAGATAACCAACCAAATGGTAAGTATAAATTTCAAGTAAACATTATTTGTGTTCAATATTTGCAGAACATATAAAGTGAGTTTTATATGCATTTAGCTTGTTTTGTTTGTTCATTTGTTTTGTTAGAGACAGGGTCTCTCATTTTGTTGCCCAGGCTGGAGAGCAGTGGTTCAATCGTAGTTCACTGTCACCTTGAACTCCTGGGCTCAAGTGATCCTCCTGCATTAGACTCCTAAATGGCGGGGACCACAGGCATGTACCACTATACCTGCTAATTTTTAAGTATTTTGTAGAGATAGGTCATGTTGTGTTGCCTAGGCTGGTGTTGAACTTCTCTGGGCCTCACAAAGTGCTGGGATTATAGGCATGAATCACTGTGCCTGGCTGATTTAGCTTTACTTTTTAAATAAATAACTGATTTTATATAAAGTATGTGCATTTAAATTCCACAAAAGACATTGACTTTTCTAAATTGATAATTTATTTTTTTCTGTTTTATAAGAAAGTTGAGTAAAAAGTACAAATAACTCCATATACTTCTCTTGTTCCCACTTCTGCCCCCCACACTTTCTCTTACTCATATGACTATTATAAAATATATTATTAATAATTATTAATATTGATGTGGTATAATTTGTAATGATGAATGAATATGGATACATTATTATCCATATTATAAAGTTGTGAAGTTCTATGGGTATAATGACAGGTACCCACAACTACACTGTCAGACAGAATAGTTTCATTGCCCTAAAAATTCCCAGTGTTTCTCCTATTCATCTTTCCCTCCCCTAGAGCTCCTGGCAACCACTAATCTTTTTGCTGTCTCCATAGACAGCCTTTCCCAGAATGTCATATCGTGGGGAATCACATAGTACTATATAGCCTTTTCAGACAGCAATGGATAGTGCAGTTCACTTAAAGGAAGCCATGACTTCTGGAAATATTCTAATTGGCTTAAATTCTGGGATAATAGCTTTTCAGTTCTAAACTAATTGGGCTTTTCTGTATTTTAATATAAAAATTAAAAATTGATCTATACTACAAATCTATAGTGCTCAAAACAGCATGGTGCTGGCACAAAAATAGACACACAGATCTATGGACTAGAATAGAGAATCTAGAGAGGAACCCAGACACATATCACCATTTGATCTTTGATAAGCCAGACAAAAACATGCATTGGGGAAAAGAATCCCTATTTAACAAATGGTGCTGGGAGAACTGGTTAGCCACTTGTAGAAGACTGAAACTGGACCCACACCTCTCACCATTGCCAAAAACTGATTCTCACTGGATAAAAGATTTAAATTAAAGATACAAAACAATAAAAATTCTAGAAGAGTATGTGGGGAAAATGTTTGAAAATATTGGCCTGGGAAAAAATTTTATGAGGAAAATCCCCCTAGCAATTGTAGCAACACCAAAAATAAATAACTGGGATTTGATCAAGCTAAAAAGTTTCTGCACAGCAAAGGACACTATAACCAAAGCAAACAGCCAGGCTTTGGAATGGGAGAAGATTTTTACATGTTGTCAATCCGAAGGTCTAATAGCTAGAATCTACAGAGAACTCAAATTAATCAGTGGAGAAGAGAAAACAACCCTATTTCTATGTGGTCAAGAAACTTGAACAGAAACTTCTCTGAAGATGACACATGAATGCCCAACAAACACATGATAAATGCTCATCATCTTTAATCATCAGAGAAATGCAAATTAAAACCACTTTAAGATATCACCTAAGTCTAGTAAGATTAGCCCATATCACAAAGTCCCCAAATTGCAGATGCTGGTGTGGATATGGAGAGAAGGGAACACTTGTATACTGCTGGTGGGATTGTAAATCAATACAACCTTTATGGAAAGAAGTATGGAGAAATCTCGAACTAAAAGTTGACCTTCCATTTGATTCACAATCCCATTACTACGTATCTATCCAGAAAAACAAAAATCATTTTACCACAAAGACATTTGCACCAAAATGTTTATTGCAGCTCAATTCACAATTGCCAGATCATGGAAGCTGCCCAAATGTGCCCATCAACTTATGAATGGGTTAACAAATTGTGCTACAGGTATATCATGGAATACTATTCAGTCATTAAAAAGATGACATCTTTTGTTTACCTGGATAGAGTTAGAACACATTCTTCTTAGTAAAGTATTTCAAGAATGGAAAAAAATATATATGATGTTCTCAATACTGTTATGAAACCAATATATAAATACTTATATGAATGATGAAACAAACATCTAGCAAAGAGGAGGGGTGGGAGATGATTGGTGGAAGGAGGAAGGACATTTGGTAGGATTTCACCTTATGTGCACAATACAAGGTTATCACCCCCCTCCAGGATGAGGGGCTCTCCTATAACTTGAACTTTACCTTGAAAGTGAGAACAATGTAACCTAAAAATTTGTTTCCTCATACTAATTTGAAATAAAAAGAAAGAAAGACAGACAGACAGACAGACAGAAAGAAAGAAAGAAAGAAAAGTTGATAAAATAGTTGGCACCAATGGATTTACTATTAGGAAATATTAGATTTAAATTATTTTGTGATAATAAATCATATAATAGTCTCACTAATACAGCTTATTTATTTTTAGAAACATACAAGTTTTTAATATAATCTTTACCCTACGTTAATATATTCCTACTTTCTATTTTATGTTATTGAATTTAGAGGTCCCAAGCAAACTAAACCGCAATGAGCTTATCTAGATTAACTGCTAAAAATATTTCCAGAATTTTAAGAAAAAACTAACACATTGAATTACTTCTTTGTATTCCTTTTGTCAAAAGAAACAACTTACTGTTGTTCCTAATGATAATAGAAAGTCAGGAATTGTTCTGTAAAAATCTGTGAATCTCTAAGAATTTTGACAGCTATTCAGGGGCTAAACAAACCAATTCCGTAGCAAGAATGCTAGAAGCCATCACAGGCAATGCCCAAAGGCTTGGGTCATGGTCGGAGAACCTACACTTACTTTTCACACCCCTCCCTCAGTAATACATCACCACGAGCAGCATAGCTAGAGCACAGTTTCCCTGTGCAGAACAAATGCTCCCTTGCAACTTTACAACCTAGATCTACAAGCAAAATTAAGAGGGAGAAAATTCGGTCTAGGCATAGAATTCTCACCTGGACTTTCTCTAGTTCTAAGCTAATACCTATCCTTACCTGTCTGCATGGCATTAGCATTTAAATTTCTGTAGGTTATTTTCTTAAACACTTGAGGGCAAGCTATTACATATGTGATAACAGCATATATTTTAAGATGACTTAAGTCCAATATATCAATAAGGAAATCTGAAGTGTATTTGATGCAACTACTACTGAGAACCAACCCTGTATGCAGGGTTCATTGTAAGCTGGTAAATGACGCCATAGCTACACCAGTGGTCAACCTCCACGGTCTCTTCTGAATGACTGAGCACCTGTTCAGCTCAGCGGTGTCCCTGCCATACCACTGAATGAATAATTTTTAGACCATCCTTCTGTGTACGCAACCTGAAAAAAGAGCTCTTACCTTCATTTTTCCACTGTATTTGGGGTCAGAAAGTGTTTCAAAGGCTGCATCTTTGCTTTTCTGCACAAAATCTGGGAATCTAGAAAATACCTGATCACATATTCTTTTTATAAGTGTTTCCTTGAAGGGAAAAGGCAAAAGGAAAGATATTTCAACTTAACACATTTAAACCTGTATAAATTAAAATTGTTTATGAAAAAAATTTTAACTTACAAGGAATATATTAAAGACTTTACCTTCTCTAAGTCAGACTAATAATTCAGAACATCTTAAAGTAATAGTTAAACATATATGGCTTTGATGAATTCTTATGGCTACTTTCTCATACTTCAAGATTGCCAAACAAGGAGCAAATACTTCCAAAAAGAGTAAAGAGTATTATCAAAGAACAATATTAAATTATTACGATTACAAAATTCCATTTAAACAGCATCAACAATAACAGGAAAATACATAAAATCAATACATAAATGACTGTTAAAAAGATATTTTCATTTATGTTGTACTCTAGAATTAGACGCATTCTAAATGACCAAAGTAAATGATTATGTTTATGCCTAAACTTTAAAATTGCTGATTTTTGTCAGTTTTGAAAACAGCCCCAATATTTGAACAGCCCAATATTAAAAGATAATTATAAATCCTCATTTTACCCAGTAGATCATTAGAGGACTAGAACTGACACACCAAATAACTTACTTAGTAATTATACCAAAGAATGTTTGGAAAAATAAATACATGAACATTAGAAGCATAAAAAGATTTTTTTTTTATTTTATTTATTTTTCGTGTTCAGTGACTTTTATTTATTTATTTTTCATTAAATCATAGCTGCGTACATTAATGCAGTCATGGGGTACAGTGTGCTGATTTTATATAAAATTTGAAATGTTTTCATCAAACTGGTTAATACAGCCTTCATGTCATTTTCTTAGTTATTATGTTAAGACACTTATATTCTACATTTAGAAAAATTCACATGTACCCTTGTAAGATAAGACTTTTCATTTTAATTTAAGCTTTTACTTTCTCACTTTGTGAGTTTTCTCTTTTAAACTTAAGTAAAAACATCTTAATACTTAAATCGAAAAATGAGCAAGTCAGTTTCCTATTAAATTTCACACTAAACAAACCCATTAAAGATATTTAGCTAAGAAATTTTACACCAAATATAAAATATTTAGACTAATATCTTCACAAAGAAATGTAAAAAGCCAACCCAAACCTGTTGCTTGGAGGTGCTAGCAGACTGCAGGAGTGCGACATGGTTAGCTACTTTCTGAAGGACTGCAAGGTAACTAAAATACAAGGTTTTCACTGTTTCGCCCTGTGAATTTGTCTGTAACCAGAGAAACACAGAAAATAAAAACAAAAAAAGGACTCACATGGCTATGTAACTGCTTAGATCATAAAATATATCACTTACAATAATATTTATTATGTGCTCTCTTTTGGCACAATAAATTCTAAGAAAATGATGGACAATTATTTATGTGAAATATCCACAAATCACTGATGCAGACTCATGCTTTTGGTGAATCACAACACAATGATGTTTTTAATAAAAGAGAAGTCCTCATTACAGAAGGTATTTATCCTCATGATAGACAGCAATAATGCTGCTGGTAAGGCATTTCTGGTTTTGAAAAAGCAAAAACCAAAAAACAAACTCTATAGTGCAGTGACCATGCTACATGGACTCTTTTTTCCCCATCTCTCATTTATGCTCCAAGGGAACCCTAGGAAACTGAGCTATTATAAAAAAGGGAAATGGTTAAAAATAGCAAAATAAATGAGGCAGAGTAAACATCAATCTAGGACAGGTGCAACAGCTCATGCTATAACTCCGCCACTTTGGGACCCAAGGCAATAGGATCGCTTTAAACCATAAGTTTGAGACCAGCCTATGCAACATTGTGAGACCACCATATCTACAAAAATAAAAATAAATAAATAAGTCATAATAAAAAAAGCCAGGCATGGTAGCATGTACCTATAGACACAGCTACTTGAGAGGCCCTTGATTGAGCTCAGGAGTTGAGGCTACAGTGAGCTTTGATCACATTGCTGCATTCCCGCCTGGGTGACAGAGTGAGACCCTATCACTACAAAAAAAAAAAAAAAAAAAAAAAAAAAATTTAATTAAAATAAAGTAAAAAATACCAATCTAGATAAATATTTACTTGGGGTCCCTTTATGTACACAGATATGTGCCAGATAATAAAGAGGTAAAAAATGAGCAAAAATATAGATAAAAGGCAAAATACACCGTATTTCTAAAATACAGTTTATTTTATTTATAACACAGTTACTATTACATTGATATATATCTACCATCAGAATAATATTTAAGTCCACTATAAAAGAATATGTTAGTTTATTATTCGTGGATAATGAGAAACTCCCTCAAAGTGAAGTGAAATTTCAAGATGAAAGAAAGATATTTCCTAATAAAAACTGGAAAAGATACAAAATTGAAGCTTACTTTCTAAAGTATCCTTTTGGAAAATACATTTGAATATTGTATTTTGTATGTGATTACTATTTTGATACTATAAAATATTTTTGGAAACTATTCCTTTTTAAAAAATGTATACCTTTTTTAAAGAACTGTCTAAGGGAAAGTCATTTGCTACTTTCTTTGACATTAGAACAGAGTACTATGTAACCAAAAGCAAGACAGTAAAGACACTGTACTGAAATGCTTGCCTTATAACAACAATTTCTCCTTTTTCGGCCGCTGCTACAGGTACAAGGCTCTGAAGAGTGAAGTATCAAAGTCACATCTTCTGTTTCTAGCACTGTTTGGTATACGGCTTTCTGGAAATCTGTCAGAGAACAGTACACCATCTGCCAATATAATATAAGTTAATTATTAATATCTTTTTATAACAATAATAACCACAATGTGTATCTGATTTTAGACTTTATTAGTGAAAATTGCTCATAAACTATTTTTGTCCTCTAGTTACGTGATTATAATTTCTCCCAATTCTCCCAATCACCCTAGACAATATAAACTATAACTTTGTTTTCAAATAACCCCCATAGTTTTTTTAATTAAAAGAAATAATAATATTAAAAAACCAAATTACATGATTTCTTTATATAGTTGATCCTTGAACAATATGAGGGTTGGGGTACCAGTTCCCCACATACTCACAGATCTACATAATTTTTGGGTCCCCACAAAACTAACTACTGATAGCATACGGTTGACTGCAAAGCTTACTAATAACAGTCGATTAACACATATTCTGTATATGTATTATACACTGTATGCTTACAATAAACGAAGGCAGAGAAATGAAAAAGTTATTTAAAATTCCATAAAGAAGAAGAAATATATTTACTATACATTAAGCAGAAGTGGGTCATCACAAAGATCTTCATCCTCATTGCCTCCACGTTGAGTAGGCTAAGGAGAAGAGGATGAGGAGGGGTTGATCTTGCTGTTGGTGGGGGACAGAGGTGGAAAGGGTAGGTACAGTAGAATGGGAAGCAAGAGAGGCAGGCACACTCGGTGTTGTAATTTCTGTCTCACTTTTTTTGTTTTCATTTCTGTAAAGATGTTTTTATATCAGTGTTTTTCAACCTTTTTTAACCTCATGGCACACTTGAACCTATAAAAAAGAATATACTTACTGTGCTTTGAACTTCTTTCAAAAATAATTTAATTAATGAATTAATAACCTTTAAAAATGTTCACAGCATACTCCAGATCCTCTCATGGCACACCAGTTGAAAATCACTGTTCTATGTGGCACCAATTCTTCTTCTACCATTTGCTTTAGCTTCAGTGCCCACATCACAGGAAGGTCCATGTCCTAAATCAGAAGCCGTCTTGAAGAATCAGAACGCTTCTGCCAGACTGTCTAACATCAGCTTGTTTTCTGCCACTGCTTCTTCTACGTCATCTTCCTCATGGTTTGGCACTGGTTTGGAGGCACTCATGGCCATCAAGTCTTCTGTTAATTCCTTTGGGATGGTGTCTTGAACTACTTTGAATTAGCTCTTGAATTTCTTCAAGATCTGTATCTTGAAACCCTTTGCCCCTTACTTTCTTCCCCTCCACACAATACACACTTTGTTTCATGATTTCCTTGATTGGCTCCGATGGAAATCCTATGAAATCATGCACAACATGTGGACATGGTTTTTTTTGGCAGGAATTTACTATTTCAGGTTTGATGGCTTTCACAGCTTTTTCTGTAACAATGATGGCATCTTCAGTAGTGTAATCCTTCCAGACTTTCACGACTTTCTATCAGAGTTCTCTTTCAGCGTGTTGACAATCCTTTCCGTAGAGTATCATGTGTAATGAGCCTTAATTAACTCTTTTATTGCTAGTGTTTTTGGTGAATAACCACCTTTTTGAAGTTGGTTTCCTAGCTGTGAGTAGTTTCTCAGTGTAACTGAACATTACACTGCAGCTGCTGACCTGCAGTGTGGTCTATTGTTCTTAAATGTAAGGTTGTCCGTGTTTCCCTCCTTTTTTGTAGCTTTGTGCAGGGTGAAGCACTGTGTTTATGTGTACTCCTGTGTTGCCAGAGCTTTCTGTTTACTTGCGACTGTATAAAATGAGATATTTCACTTAAATTTCAAATTATGTTTGCATTATGGAAAATCATTATTCTGGCTAGAATTTTGTTAAAAAAATCATGAAATCTGGTGTGCCTTCAGATTGTAGCCACCAGGGTGTAAGCAGTTATACTGCCACATATACTCAGAAATGGCATCAGGCAAGAGTAAACACTGAGAATATGTACAGTTTTTTGGGAAGAAACACAAAGTGTCGATGAGACAGGTGTATCCAAAAGTGACAATGAAGGTGAATTTGAAAATCCAGAAGGATATTTATGTTGAGATTTGGTTGATGAAACAGAATATTTAGAAGGAGCTACCGGGCTCCATGACACACAAGTGCCGGCAAGTGAAAATGAATTTGCAGGAAATGCAGACACAGTTTGGTTGCGTCATCGGGTGTACAACACTGCCTCTTTATTTTTGAAGGAAGTTGGGCTAAATATACCCAAAAGGAATAACCTTAATGCTAGAAGCTTTTGAATGTTTATTTCCCTCAGAAATGACTAGACGTCACAGTGGCAAATGCCATCATTATTTTCAAGGAGCCACATCCAGAGGAGGCCATGAACTTCAAAGACTTTTGATGAGCTGTAATGGCAGGACTTGTATGGACAAAACTAGGTTCCCCAAGAACAGAATGTCAGTAATTTGCATCAACAACTTCAAGCTGAATGTTCCTTAAGAGAAACAGTTAGACAAAGCTGCACATTTGCCTGTTCAGGGAACATCCAGAGAGTGTGCATTGTGCAGTACAGCTAAAAATCCACTCCATACAATCTTGGGGGTGTGTCAGACGTGGAACTGGACTCTACATGAGCAAGAACAAGAATTGTTTTGATGACTATCAACAAAAAGTGAGCAACACCTAGTTTCCCAGTGGTTTTGATGAAAACCACACTTAAGATTAAAATAAAAATATATATAATGCCTTTACTTCTTAGTAATCAAAAGGTTAAAAGTTCTTGTGACCCTTGAATCTAAAGGCTGAATTAGAGATATTATGTTTGGGGGCTACTAGACCACTTTGTTGCCTTCAGAGATGAACTCCTATGATTCTGAGTGACCAAAAGACATTGTTCAGTTTCAAAAGAATTAAAAGGCAGTCCTTCATGGCAAGGTACTTCCTGACTTTAGGGACAAAGCATTGAGGTGATCAATCCATAAAAAGAGTTCTAATTGCCCAGGTCATTTTCTTGTACAGCCAAAAGACTGGCAGCTGGTGTTTATCCTTTTCTTTCAAGGCTTGGGGATTAGCAGCTTTATATATTAAGGGCAGTCTGATCACAGCCTGATTGCACTTACACAAAATGGCAGAGTTAGCCTAGCTTTTCCTGCCTTAAATCTGGATGCTCACTTTTCTTCCTTACTAATAAATGTCCTTTGTAGCATCCTTTTTTCCTAGAACAGGTTACTTTCATCTGCATTAAAAACCTGTTCAGACAGATACTCTTTCTCTTCAATTACTTTCTTAACAGTATCTGGGAACTTAACTGCTGCTTTTTGGTCAGCAGAAGCGGCTTTGCAAATTATCTCGACTTTTAAGCCAAACCACTTTCTAACATTATCAAATCATCCTTTGCTGGCATTAAATTTTCTACCTTTAGATTTTTCTCCTCTCTTTTGCTTTAAGCTGTCATATCATTTTGCTACTCTAAGTATGCTTTTCTCATAACAATCCTGCACCACATAAAAGCTGCATTCTCAATATGACATTAATATGCAAGGTTTTCACTCTTGCTGGAACAGCTGCAGTGATGGCTCCACAAATTTCCTTTTCTTTTTTACAACAGTTCTTACACTGGATTTATTTATCTTAAGACAGCAGGCTACCTCGGGTATATATCTCAATCTTTGGTACATGTCAAGCAATTCAATGCTTTCTTGTAAGATCTTGACTTTTCTCTACTTCTTGGAAGCACTTCCAGCATCACTAACGGCATTTTACATGAGTCGCCTGGTATTATTCAAAGTTTATTGTATTGCACTAAACACAATGAAAAATACCCAAGAACCATGAGAGATCACTTTTTTACTGTGATATTTACTAGAGACAGGAACTGCTCACGTTGAAAGGATCAGCATTATTTATTATTGTAAGAGAATACCTGAATGCCTGTAACACTTGAGTTCACTGCAACAGCAACAGGAGGTGGCTACAAAAGTATCAGTGTGTACTATAATTACCTTTATGTATTTATGACTTAATAATGCATCTTTACATTTGTTTACATTTCTCTTAACTGCAAATGGTACCACGTAAGGTCTGTTAAGTATGTGTATGTTTTGATAAATTTTAACTTTGCATGATAGATTGGTAGGCATAGTATGATATGATAAAATAGAATAGTATCTGTATCCATTTTATGCATTCTTGACATACCTAATTTTTCCTTAATTTTTTCAATATTTTTAGACTACATGGTTTGTGAGTTTTTTCAAATTGTCACAAATCTCCAAAATTTTTCCAATATATTTATTGAAAAATGTCTGCACATAAGTGGATTTCCCCTGTTCAAACTCAAGTTGTTCAATAGTCAACTACATATTCTGTATAAGCCCGCTGTGCAAATAAATTATAGTCATGCATTGCTTAGTGGCAGGAATATGGTCTGGGAAACGCATCCTTGAGCAATCTGGGGTGATTTTGTTGCTGTGTGAACATCATAGAATATACTTACACAAACTTAGATAGTAGAGACTACCACACACCAAGTTATATGGTACAGCCTACTGCTCCAAGTCTGTAAACTGGTACACTTTAGTACAGAAGGTAACTGTACTGCATACTATAGGCAAATGTAACACAATAGTACATATTTGTGTATCTAACCATATCTAAACATAGAAAAAGAATAGAAAAATATGATATTATAATCTTATGTGCCCACCATGATATATGTGATCTGTTGCTGACTGAAACACCATTATATTAAAGTTTAGGCCAACAAAAAACTTAACAAGGTAAAAAGATTTCAAAACAATGACATAAATGATAAATGCTTATTAAAATACTTGGAAAAGTTAGAAAAGAATAAAAAACTCCATATAACTGAAAATATAGCATTTATATTTAATATCTATAAAAGTCCAACATTAGTAAAGATAAAGATTAAGTAAATTACATAAAAGCAAATACAAGTTATTATTTTATGTCTAAATTCAAGAAAATATGAAAAACAACGTTTTCCACTAAGTTAATAAAGACACAACTTCCCTTATATTCCTCATAGCACTGAAAATCAGTAAAATTTTTCTATATCCAGCTGCATATAACTAGGGTCATAAAACTAAAAATGTCCATAGTAGGGTTTGAAAGTGTGAATAAGAGGGAAAAGCCATCTATTTATAAATATTTATATGTGTATATCCTTACATAGAATATTACTGCCAACAAATAGACAAATGTGCATCTGAGCAAATACAGGAATTTCTATATAAAACAATGTTAGATTTTTAAAAATATATATATACATACAATATTAAGTACATCTTGACCCTAACCTTGAATATAAAAGTACACATAAGAACAAAAAGAGAATATAGAAGATGGTAGTCAATGATTAAAGTATGGAGGATATTCTGAGCTGTTTATTATGAAACACAGTAATATTCACTGAACATTTCTTGCATTTCACAGCAACTATGTGAGGCAGGAATTGTTATTACTTCCATTTAATAGATGAAGAAACCCAGGTTTAAAAGTTTCAGCAAATTGTTCCAAGTCACAAAACTCTTAAGTAGAGAAGCCAGGATTCAAGCTTAAGCTCATTTGAGAGCCCAAATTCTAAACCCTACACACAATTGTCTCTTCATGCATTTACTTTTATGTTGCTCCTACTAGATCAATAACTAAAACATATACATAAAGTTGCATAAAACATTTTTAAAAGTGGGGGTTCATGAAGGATCTCAATTCGCTAAAAATATTTGCTTTAGATAAATATAAAAAGTCATATATTATATGAATTTCCCTCCCTATTTCAGAATATTTTCCTTTCAAACATATCTTTTTAAAGTAATTATCAATGTGATATCCTAAAATTACAATGAATTTAATGAGCTTGTCCATATTTGGGACACTAATTAGGCTGAGTTTCTTAGTAATTTATAGAACCTTTCTTCGACTGCCTGAGCCAGAAGACATTACAAGATTTAAAACTATGAAAGAAAACCATTATATCAATTTTAAAAGCCCTCTTAAGGTCATCTCCTCGAATTTTTTAAATAATTGACAATGTAACTTTCCTACAAATTCTAAAGATTATGTTAGTCATGTAACTCCAAATAGTATTTTATCAGAAGCAAATCTACTCGTAAAAGCTCTTAACTACTTTGGTCCTATTGCTAGAATTAATGTACAAAGAATACACTGTGTGGTAGACAGCAAACTATAGGAAGGACCAAGTATAAATGGAAAACATACTGGGGAGAGAAGCTCCTCCTTCTTCATGGAGGAAGAATTCTATCAAAAGTCCTGATGGGAAATGAGTTTAATGTATACTAACGATACACCTGTTAGCTAATGGGTTAGTAAAGTTAGTAAGGAAAACAACTTGGCTCAGTGTTTTCTGAAACTATGTATATAATAACTTTTTTCCTATACTGAGTAAAAGGCAAAAATTTCAATTCACAAAATACCACAGAAGGTAGACTTCCTCTTACAAAGAAAAAAATAAAACATGACAAGAAATTAGTTATACACACAAAGACAATTCTCACCCGATCTTCCTTCTTAGGCAACTGATCCTTGATAAGAGTCTTGGTACGCCTGAGAAACCAGCCAGACATCTTTTTTGCAAGCCTCCGCATGGCCTTTCGCCCAGTGGCTAGCTCTCTTTTCGTTGCTGTGTGTCTCTGTCCATGTTCTACTGGGTCAGAAAACTGCTTCTTGAAGTGGGTCCTGCTACCTAAAAGTCCCGGCACAGCCCTTTATAAAGCAATAAGAAAAATGTGAGGGCTTTATTAAATTATCTAAAAAGAAAAACCAGACTTCTTTTCACTTTTAAGAGATATAGTAAGTCACTTGTTTATTAATGACAACAAAAACAAAAGCAAAGAAAACAGAATGTTTTTTTTTTTTTTTTTTTTTTTTTGAGACGGAGCCTCAAGCTATCCCCCTGGGTAGAGTGCCATGGCATCACGCTCACAGCAACCTCCAACTCCTGGGCTTAAGCGAGTCTCCTGCCTCAGCCTCCCAAGTAGCTGGGACCACAGGCACCCGCCACAACGCCCGGCCATTTTTTGGTTGCAGCCATCATTGTTGTTTGGCGGGCCGGGCTGGGGATTCGAACCCACCACGTTAGGTGTATGTGGCTGGCGCCTTAGCCGCTTGAGCCACAGGCGCCGAGCCAGAATGTTCTTTATGACAGTTTTACTTTATAACCATAAGAAGATGTGGGAATTAGTAATTAATGTGTATATTTATTTACTTCAGGGACCAAAAGAAATACATACAAATAGGTTTTTATGAAACTCTATTCTGTATACCATGTTTGGGATCAAACATCTAAAAATAGACAAGTGATTGTTTCAGAAACTAATGATTAGCAAAAAAGGCAGCATTAAGCTAAAGTAGTATTAAATTTTTTTGAGCGCTTTCTACTCACCAGTCCATAACACACCACAGTTCTTTCATGTTATTTTGAAGAATGGTTCCAGTGAGGCCAATGCGGACATTACATTTTAAAGCTTTCATAACTTCTGTTACTCTAGCCTTTGGATTCTTGATTCTATGAGCTTCATCCACAATGACACCTGACCACTCCAAACTATAAAGTAAGATAAAAAGGAGAAAGATTGAGAAAACTTCTCTTTCTTAGTTGATATTATTTTTAGAGACCAGCTTTTTCTACCAAAATTTTGCAGGTATTTTTCCTCTTAACTCTTTGATAATTTCTTTGGAATCTCATCTACTTAGTTCTAAAATGGTCACAGGTTTAGAGATCTTACAAAAATAATATCTGAATGGAGAAGATAAAAGGGTATAAACATTCTGTTCAATGATGGTGATATGAAAAACCTCATTTAAATGTCACTACAATGACAATAAAGGAATTTTTTAAATAACAAACCAGAGAAGCTATTATAAAAGCAAAACTTGTAATATTAAAAATGAATAACAAATACCAATATAAACTCCTAATTTTTAAAAGTTATAATGTATAGCCCTGTTTATTAAAACGATTTAGAATTAATTATTGCCCTCGTAGTAATGAGCACCCATAGTGGTCTATCCACCAAAAGGAACTAGAGCCCCAGAGAAAACTGGAGAAATGGTTGATGTCAGGCTTGTCACTAGGGAAATACTGAAGAGCCAGAAATCACACAGGTATCCAAAGACCAATGAGGACATGTATAAGGACATAGGGGCCAGCCTAATTGGAATATTTGAGCATCATTATGAACAATGGGTATAATTGAGAATAAAACACTGAATAAATATAAATCCTGGAGTTTTAGATTCTTATTTCACCATACATAAAAATCAACTCAAACTCTATCAGAGACCTAAATATGAACTAAACTGATACAACTTATAAAACATAAGGAAAACCCTTTGTGACTCTGGATTGAATTCTACTCTGGACTTCTTGATTGAATTCTACTTTAAAAATATTAGCTATTAAAGATACTTTGAAAATAATTAAAGAAATTTTAACTGCTATTAATTTTCATAAGTGTGACAATAAATGTGGTATGAGAAAAAAATTCATGCTAAAATATTTAGAGATAACTTGTCATATGCAACTTACTGAAATGATTCAATACCACCACTGTACATGATAAAAGCACACACACATCCAGGCGCTAACTTACATTTTGCCAACATAAGAATATATATATATACACACAAATGTTGCATCTAATGGTCAGTATGTGAATATTCATGTGCCATTATTTCAACTTTTCTATAGTTTTCATAATTTTCTTAATAGAAAGTTGAAAAAAGGTGTAAGCCTTCAAAAAAAAGAGAGGGAGAGGAGAAAACAACCAGAAAATTCTAGAAGCTGAACTTCTAAACAGTTCAGAGAAGAGAACTTACAAAGGCAGAGAATAAGAGAACTTATAAAAGCAGAGAAAGCAGCTGGAAAGAGTCAATAAGCAGTCTGATTTAGATTATTTAGCACTTAAAAAGTTAGGAATTGGTGGCACCAGATGCCTCCGGAAAATGAAATCATGTAAACGTTCAACTGTTGGACCTCCCAAATACCATTCCCCCCACATCACAAAGCAGACAAACGAGGTCATCCTAAGTAAGCAAGAGAAGGGCAAAATACTCATTTTCCTTCAGAGGAAATCAACAGATAATGCTAAAAACTAAAGAAAAATTTTAAAGTTGTGTTATAAATACGGTCTTCAGAAATAGGGAAGTAAAGGCTAAGAAAATCAGTAAGAGTTGAAGGAAAAGGTAATGGAAAGGCAGGAGTGAACTACAGTTTTTCACTAAACACCTTATATTATGTTTGGGTCTTTAAATGAAGTATATGTAACCTCGATAAACTTTAAAATGAAGGAAAAATATAATAGAAATAAAAAAGATACAGTTTCCTTATATAGTGTTTTTCTACTGTGCAAATTATCTATGATAAATGTACACAGCACTGTTCTCAAAAAAACCTAGTATTTGCTCATTTTAAATATTTGTCGAAATAAAGCCATTTTAATTAATACAACAAAATCAACAAATAAGACAAAAATTACATTTTCATTCCTCTAACCTTATAAATATGTGATTTATAGTTCGGTAATCCCATTTTAGAATTCTTGTTTAACATTTATAGTAATCACAGAAAAAATAACCCCTTAAACATCTGTTCAGAAACCAGTATGTGCTAAAAGTGTAATATACACTGAAATACAAAAATGAAAGACACAAGTCTTCTATATCAAAGAGGTTATATTATAAAGTGATAGGTAAAAAATAAATATGATTGCTACTATGAAAAATAAATTTATTATATCTATTTAATAAATTTACAATAAATTTATTATATGCAGAACAGCTTTTGGGGGGGTGGTACAGCACATTGATTAAAAACCCAAAGTCTGTGTCAGATGGTCAAGGTTCAAATCTAATTTCCATCACTGACTTAGTTGTATAGGCTCAGACATACAACTGTTATAAATCCAATTAGTCACATTATATTAATATACACTAAATACCCCAAATGAAAAGCAAAGATTATCAGAATGGATAAAAAAGCAAGATTCAACTATGCACTAACTACAAGAGACTCACTTCAAATATAATGAACAGATATGTTGGCCTGGTGCAGTGGCTCATGCCTATTATCGCTCTGGGAGGCTGAAGCAGGAGAACTTGTTGAGCTCATGAGTTCAAGACCAGCCTGATCAAGAGTGAGAGCCACCCCCCACTGCTCTACTTAAAAAAGAAAAAAAAGAACGAAAAAAAGAAAAATGACCAGCCTGGCATTGTGGTGGGCACCTATAGTCCCAGCTACTTGGGAGGCTAAGGCAGAAGGATGGCTTTAACTTAGGAGTTTGAGATTCCTCTGGGCTAGGCTGTTACTACTGCCCTCTAGCCTGGGTGACAGAAGGAGACAAAATATTAATAATAATAATAATAAAACAGATACTTTGAAATTAAAAACATGCAATAAAGCATAAGAAGAATTTATTGGCCATGTTAATAATCAAACAAAATGTCAGCTAAGAAATATTATTAGAAATAAAATGATACATTTTCTAAGATAAAAAGATCAATTCATCAATTATAAATGCCTGTGTACCTAATAACAGAGCTTTAAAATACATAAATTGAAAACCAACAGAGCTAAAAGGAGAAATAAACAAATTAATGATTATAACAGAAGATTTCAACTCTCTTCTCTTAGAAATTGTAAACCACTGAAAAGGAAATCAGTGAAGATAGAGAACGCTTGAATAATACTTTAACCAACCTAGTCTTGTTGATATTTATAGAACACTGCTCCTGACTGGACAATAAACATTTTTTTCAAACAGATGTCAATGGGTCAGAAAAATGCAAATTATACTACAATGAGATACCACTATACACCTACTAAAAGAGCTAAAAACAAAAATGTTGGCAACTGAACTCTCATACATTGCTAACTGAAGTAAAATGGTAAAATTATTCTGGAAAATAGTTTGGCAATTTCTTCTAAAGTTAAATCTACAGTTACTATATAATCTAGAAATTCTCCTTTTAGCTTTAACCCAAGAAAAATGAAAGTATGGATCAAAAAAAAAAAAGAGGCTTACACACAAATATCCCTTGAAGTTTTATTTATAATAACCCAAAAGTAGAAATACACAAATATGCATCCTCACATGAACAGGTGACAAAACATGGTATACTCATAAAACAGAATACAATTCAATGTTAAAAAAGAACAATCACTGATATGCTCAATGACACGGTGAATCTCAAAAACATGTTGAACAAAAGATGTCAGACACAAAAAAGGTACCTGCATAATTCCATTTATATATGATGCTCTGGAACAGCTTAAACTAATCTCTAGCGACAGAAGCCCAAAGTCAGTGGTTATACACATACAAGGTGAAGGTTGAGGAAAGGCTGACTGTAAAGAAGTCAAGAAAGAAATCTGTGGATGATAAAAATCCTTTATACCTTGTTTGGGATAGTGGTTAGTTACGCTTAAGTATCTACTTCCCAAAACAAAACTAGGAGTCAGCAAACTATTGCCAAATCCAGCCTGTGGCCACTTTTATATAGTCGGCAAGCTAAGAATAGCTTTTACATTTTTAAAGGCTTGTAAAAATATAAAAGAAGCATATGCAACGGAGACTGTATGGGACCCCAAATCCTAAACTATTTACTATCTGGCTCTTTTACAGAAAAAGTTTGCCAACTCCTGGTCAAGATTCATCAAGCTATATACAGCAGAACCTCTGTAAGTTGACCACCCAAGGGACTGTAACAACTGGTTAATAAAGAGAGGAGGTCAACATGAGGAAGTAGTCTATTGTATTGATATGCATACATGGTGTATATCCAGTGTATAAAAATTAGGCCAACTTATGGAGGTGGTCAGTATAGGGAGGAGGTCAACTATGGAGTTTCTACTGTACATAAAATGGGTATATATTATTGTACATAAATTAAATAAACCTCATTACAGTTTATTTTAATAAAACTTTCCAGATGAGCTTAAGGAACTAGTTTTGACATAAACTAATTTAATCTATTCTCTGCCATTTTCCAAATGTGTTGGTTTACCCAAAGCCACATAACTAATTGCTGACTTCTGCTCTCAAATATATCTTGTGCTGGGGCAATGCCTATGGCTCAAAGGAGTAGGGTGCCGCCCCATATACCAGAGGTGGCAGATTCAAACCCAGCCCCAGCCAAAAACTACAAAAACCAAACATATATACATATATACACATATAAATACATATATATATTGCTATGAAATTTATGAGACAACTATTGATTGTTCTTTATTTTTATCTAATACCAAGGCATTTTAATGCTATTGTGAATCAGTGTCACCTTTAGAAATAACCTGATTCTCTAAATTTCAATCAGCTTCAAGGGAATATCATTAAATCCTTCATTGGTAATAGTTCAAATTGACTATAATCTTAACATTTTAAAGACTTAACTAGATAACTTTTTCTAATGCCACACTTTAATCTTCACTTAATGGGTATAATTGTATCCTTAAAGGGAAAAATCTAAGCTAGAGCAGATCAAATTTAATGACTTTTCCAAAGCCCAACCTATTGCTGGAACAACTATGAAGAGTTCAGACCTGACTACCATCGTCCTTTGACCAGACTATTATAAAAATCTTGTATTAGTTTGCTATGGCTGCCAAAATAAAATACAGCAGCTCTCAACAACAGAAATTTATTTTCTCACAATTCTAGAAGCTAGAATTCCAAGATAAAGATGTTTGCAGTGTTGGTTTCTTCTGAGGCCTTTTTCCTTGGCTTCTAAAATAACTGCCTTCTTCCTATGTCCTCACATGTCCTTTCCTGACTATGTGTGTCCCTGGTTTCTCTTCTTATAAGGATATCAGTCATATTGAACCAGGCCCACACAAACGGCCTGTTTTAATCACCTCTTTAAAGTCCTATATTTTGAACAACTGGTGTTGGGACTGTGATGACCCAGACCCCTTGATTCCCCACTAAGACAAGCCCTCTACCCTTGAGACTTCTCCTGAGTCTCTCAGTCCCAGCCCCTTCAAGGGTGGAGAAGCTTAAAGATAAGGGAGAGAGGAAAGGAGGGGTTGATGCCAGAAGGTTGATGCCAGAACATGAGGTAATATGTACCCCCGTTTTGAACTTTGCAACCTCCAACATGATTTACTTATATGACCTAAGTCAGCATGTACCCCCTCCCTGAGTTGTGTAACTCTATATGAGCATGTACCCCTTACCTTGTGACCCCTGAGCTGTGCTGAGCTGGCTAATTGTAACATTTGGCTTCTGAATTAGTTTGCCCACTTGCTTCAGCAGAAATAATTTACCATTCGGGGCTGCTTGCTTTTCAGAGGCAACAGCCCCCTGTACAGGTGTATCAAATTTCTAAAAAATTGCTATTGATTATTGCTTCAGAAGTGGGGTCCAACTCTTTCTCAGCTGCGTGAGATTACAACAGGACCTGAACCAATGAATTTGGGGAGTAGGGAGGACAATCCAGCTCATAACAAGCCTCTCAATTGATCTCTCTCCATTCAACTAGGCTATCCTCTTTCTATACATATAGCAGCGAGAGTATTTATTTAAAAGTGCAAATCTGATCATCTATATGATGTCAGTAATTTGCTGAAAACACTTCAGGGGCACTCCAAAGATCAAAATCCCCTAAGTAGCTTTCAATACTCTTTATGATCTGTCCCTGCTTATCCCACTGGTGTTATCTCCTGGTCACTTCTCTCTTACATTCTAGGCTACAGTGGTTCCCACTGGGTATGTCTTGGGGGGGAGGGGTGTGTATGTATGTGTGTATTTTTGACCATTCTACATTCATAACAGATTTCCATAATTATAATCATTTATGAAATCACTGTCTTTTGTTTTTTCCCCAGAGGCCCTGTATGCATAAAAGGCTGTACATGAGATTTAGGACAAGTCTTACCAACTCTTCAAGCATTGTTTGGAGAGGAATCCTATATGGGGTTTAAGAAATAGAATAAGAGACTGTGGAAAAATTGAGGCAGATTTTTCCTTCTCAGAAAATAAGTTACTATAACCTATCTATCTCCATAACTCTGAAATAAAATTATCTGCAGCTAAAGAATAGGAGCTCTGTAAAAAATAATCACAGCATAAAGACACAAAACTTATAATTGATATAAGCAGAAAATTAATGCAATCACTCCCATTATTTCCATTACCTGTTAAGCTCATCCAGACATAAGCGCAGTGTTTCATAAGTTGTTAGAGCAATTTCACATTTCCTCTGCTTTATACGAATCAGTTCATTGTCTTTTTTGTTTCCATGTAAAACTGTAACTCTGAAATATCCCCAGGTGTCTAATTCATCCTTCCAGTTATAGAGGACAGAGAGAGGAGCAACTATTAAGAACATCTAAAAGAAGAATAAAAATTTTGATTTTTTTAAATGAAAAAGAACCACCATTATGTTCTTAGCCCCAAATGTTCATAAGCCATATTGTCTAATTATCATCTAATAATTAAAAACAATTTTGAAAAAAAAATGTTGATGACCATGAAAAAAAAAAAGAAAGAAAGAAAAAGAACCCCCAAATGAAAAACAGAATATTACTAGTATTCTGCCTTAATTTTGACATTCTAATAAATAAGAATAACTATGTTTGGACATAGAAAACTCTCAAAAATACTTTGTTGTATAATTAGCTTTTTATTAGGACAAAATAGATACATTAACTTGTCTAACGGAGCAGCTATTTTTTATTTCCCTCTACAAAAAAGGCATTAAGAAATGACAAAAGTAACTCTTGAAAAGAGAGAAAAGACTATAAGCAGGGCCCCGATATTAACTTCAAGTGACCAATGGGTAATGGAAATATGCAAAGCATGCCATGTATTTTTATTGAAATATAAGGTCTCTGGAGTTCTCCTTCCTTTTTCATCTTCCCAGACAAGATGGGATATGTTCAGGGTGATGTGAACAAGGCCAGGGAGGGTAATATTTCTTATTGTGAAGCTGAGACACAATTTTATAAAACTGTATCTAAAATGTAAGATAAATAAAATTAAAATTCATTAAGTTAAATATTATAAAATTAAGAGGCTAGGTTAAATTAGTGTAACTAGAAAATATTGAATTGTTTTTCATCTTTTTCAATAAATCTAGCTCAATTATTAAGGAATATTCTGTTATAGTGTGAATCCTTATGCACTATGGCATTAGAAACATAATGTGGATATGGACTGTGTCAAGATGCTTTAAAACATTTAATGCATGATAATTTTTGTGTCAGAAATAGTCATTGTATTAATAATAACTACCATAATCACTATTGAGCACTTACCATATGCCAAGGACTGTACAAAGTAGTTTACAGACATTAACTCAGGACTTTACACAGAAACACCATAAAGTAGAAATATTTATTATGCGGAAACTAAGGTACAGAGATGTTAAATAACATGTAAGAGGTCATACCACTATGAACGGCAAAGTAAGTATCTGAACCCAGGTCTAATTTTAAAACTCTTAACCGCCATGACACATTAGCACCTTAAACCGCAAGGCCATGTCCTTGAGATACAGAACTTTCTTATTTACCACTGTAACTCCAGTACTTTGTGAAATGCTTAAAAAATATAAAGTGTTCAATTGATAAATGAATTAATAAATGAAACCATGCATGTCAATGCCAAATAAGACCCACATTGTGGAAGCAAAGGTTTCACATGGAAGGAAGTAGGATATAAAATAAAAAATAAATTGTACCTTTACAGAAAAATTACAGAATATAAAATCAGAATTTTTGCTATAGAACTTGAGGGTTCTAAAAAAATACCCTCTATATTTATTGCTACAATCTTAACTGTTTTGAAAATGTTCATCTTCTACTGTGCATACTTGATAACTTTTCCTTTGGTATACTGTGGCAATTTAATATATAGGCATTTCAGTTTAGTACCCATTCTATTTATGACCACCTTTTACAAAAATGATATTTCATCAAACAGAAATAAACTAAAACAATAAACATCAAATCTTGCAATTAAAAAAGAAAAGTAACTAAGAGATTTAAGAATGGAAATGACAAGCAAAATTATCATTATTTACAGAAATAAGTGAACCAACTAAAGGAATAATAAAATCAACTATTATGAATGGTAAAAGAATTAAGGAATTACAAAATATACATGACTTTAGAATTTACAAAATATACATGACTTTAATACATACAAAAATGCGACCACTTAAAAAGTAAACCAAAAGGCTTGGTGCCCGTAGCTCAGTGAGTAGGGTGCCAGCCACATACACCAAGGTTGGCAGGTTCAAGCCTAGCCCAGGCCTGCTAGACAGCAATGACAACTGCAACCGAAAAACAGCTGGGTGTTATAGTGGGCACCTATAGTCCCAGCTACTCAGGAGGCTGAGTCAAGAGAATCGCTTAAGTCCAAGAGTTTGAGGTTGCTGTGATGCCACAGCACTCTACTGAGGGTGATATAATGAGACTCTGTCTCCAAAAAAAAAAAAAAAAAATTCTATTTATAATAGCAACCAAAAACATAGAAGACCCAGTAAAACTTGGTGAACAAGTTTAAAATATATTATAATACTAAAATAACTAAAATTGTTTAGATCTGGAAGAGTGAATAGGCCAGGTGCAGTGGCTCATGCCTATAATCCTAGCACTCTAGGAGGCTAAGGTAGGACAACTGCTTGAGCTCAGGAATCAATATCAGCCTGAGCAAGAGTGAGATCCTGGTGCCACTAAAAATAGGAAAATTAGCTGGACATGGTGGTGTGCACCTGTAGTTCTGGCTATTCAGAGGCTGAGGCAGGAGAATCACTTGAGCCCAGGAATTTGAGGTTGCAGTGAGCTACAATGATGCCAGTGCACTCCTAGCCTAGGCAACACACTGAAACCCTATCTATCTCAGAAAAGAGGAAGGGACAGAAGGGACAGAAAGGAATGGGAGGGGAAGAGAGGAGAAGGTGGGAGGAGAAGATAGGAGGAGAGGAGAAGGAGGAAGGGAGGAGAAGGGAGAGAGGACCAGGAGAAAAAGAGAAAGGGAGGGCAGGAAGGGGAGAAAGGATAGGAGGGGAGTGAGGAACAAATAAATTTACAGGATAGAATAACATGTCTACAAATAGAAATAGAAATGATTTTAATTTTATACAAAGGTGGCCATTCAAATCACTATGGAAAAGAGGGTTATCCAGCCACCTGGGAAAAATAAAGGTGATTACTAGATATAGCAAAATAAATTCTACCTGAACCAAAGATGGACACATGATGAAAGAATTTTGAATTAATGTATTAGCATTTTTAGAGATAAAAGGCTTTTCTAGGCAGACATAAAACTCAGCAGCTATCAAGACAGATAAATATAAATACTTAAAAATTTTTAATCAAAATATGAGTCAAAAACTGACTCTGAAAAAGTGGAGAAGAAATATTTTCAAAACACATAAAAAAATTCAATATCTAGAATACATGGTTAAGGGCTATTAATTAACGACCATGTCTAAAAGAACAAGATTTTAAAATGGCAAAGCCATTAAAAATGGCTTTTTATGCACGTAAAAACCTACTCAACTTCATTCATAATTAATGAAATACAAATCAAAGCAAGATATAATTTTATTAATCTCTCAGATAGACATAAATTTATGTTTGTTAATACCTACAGCAGACGAAAAAGTGGGAACAAGCACACACCATTGGTGGGAATAAAAATTGTCATAATGTCTTAAATGGATAATTTGATTCCAGCTATCAAAATGTAATATGCACAAACTCCCAAATCCAGTACCATCTACTATATAATTCCAGTAATAAGAATTTATCCTTATATAACTTGTACCCATAATAATTAAAAATAAAAAACTTTAAAATTTTTAAGAAAGAATTTGTCCTATAATTATAATTGCAAAAGTTGCCAAGATAAGGTATAAGGATGTTTATGATAGCATAATTTGTAACATCATCTTCTGGGTACATATGAGGAACTAAAAAAATAATGTACAGCAAATAAAATAATTGAAAATTATTTTCTTTCTTTTTTCTCTCTTTTTTTTTTTTTTTTTTGACCATCACAGAAAACTTTTATTACCACAGAGATTGGAAATCAGGAAATGGAGGCCACGTACAGCAGCTTCCTTAGTGTGTGTGAACAGGGAGGAGGACAGCAGGCAGGAACCCTGTGTCATCGTCAATCATGTCTGCACAGTCTCCTAACCAGCAGATTTGCTCAGTTCAGGAGAGGCTTCTGGGGAGCTGTGTGTGTGGCTCAGGAAGCCTCAAGTGGGCTTCTTCCTGGACAAGAGACAGCCAGAACCAAGGAAACTTACACACACCAACTTAAAATGGAAATCAAACTGGGCTCATTACACGAGGAAGTACATTGCACCCTGATGGTTAAACAGGAGGGGAAAGGGAGCACTGGGCTCCACAAAGATAGCCTCTCTTTTAGATGAGATGCTTTTAAAAGTTAAACATCGGTAGGGCCTTCCCCTTACTAACAGCAACCAGCACACAACTTCCAAGTCACCCTTTAAAGCTACTGTCATCTCTGTTATCTGTTATTATTTGAATTTTGAACAAAATTAATGGAGTAGGAACCAGTGGAGGAATCCTGTATGATCTTGGAAAGTTCTCAAAATCTTTTAGTTCACCTGACATTTCTTCTTTCAGTCTTTCATTTCGTTCTTCAATTTGCTTAGGTAATCTCATACAAGCTTCTCTTGTTTGATGTATTGATGGATCCTTTTCTAATATAGATTTATAATCCTCTAGGGCAGTGGTTTTCAACCTTCCTAATGCCATGACCCTTTCATACAGTTCCTCATGGTGCAGTCTAGTTTCTTGACTTCCCCCCAGTGCTGAATCCAATAAGGGAGGTGATGCCAAACCTAACCTCCCAGATCCTCCAGTCTCCACCTTCCTGGCTTCTGAGACCTTCTGAAAATTATTTTCATTCGATTGCTTCTGATGCTGGTATTATGATCTCTTGAAAAATCTTTCTCCTCTAAATTAATTATGAATTTTATCTAGAATCTCTAAAGTTTTTCATCTAAGATAGTAATATTTCAGAATGAATGTACTAGCTGGGCACAGTGGCTCACACCTGTACTCTAGGAGACCCAGGTGGGTGGATTGCTTGAGCTCAGAAGTTCAAGACCAGCCTAAGCAAAAGGGAGACCAGGTCTCTACTAAAAATAGAAAAACTAGTCAGCTGGATGTTATGGTGGACACCTGTAACCCTAACTACTCAGGAAGCTCAGGCAAGAGGACTGCTCAACCCCAGGAGTTTAAGGTTGTTGTGAGCTATGATGATGCCATGGTACTCTACCCAGGCATTAGGGTAACAGAGTGAGACTCTTGTCTCCAGGAAAAAAAAAAAATTGGATGAATGTGC